GCAGTTAGAAGAAATATATAGAGAGATACGAATATTCCTTGAAGCAGAAAAGAAAAAGTACATTACACATGCAGCAATGTCTGCTTCTGCAACATCTCAAAATGTATCTAATATTCCTTTCCAGCCGTATCCACCAGAGGAAAGTTTTCAAAACTTCACTCGACGCTTTGAAAACTACACAAAATTACGGGGAAACTTAAGTCCAAAAGTCAAAGTGGATTTATTTTTACAGGCAATCACCCCATAAATGCATGAACAGCTATACGATCTTTGCATACCAGATGACCCACATAACAAGCCATATGAGGAATTGATTCACATGTTAATGGCTCAACTAGAACCAAAACCCAGTATTTGGGCTCGTCAGCACAAATTTACAACACGTATCCAATTATGTAATGAATCTGTACAAGCTTACGCTAATGCTCTTAGAAAGCTCAGCGTAGAATGTCAGTTTACTTGTACAAGCTGTAATGAATCCGTGTCTGAAATTCTACTTCGAATGCAGTTTGTCAGGGGACTAAAAGACTCTGATATACGTCTTCAACTTCTTCAAGATAAACTATTGCAACCGTTTAAAGAAGTAGTCGAAAAGGCTGCTACATTGGAACTAGCTAAAAGTGAGAGCAGAATACTAAAGACAAATGAAAATCAAGAAGAAGTACACCAAGTATCAAGCAAGAACAAACAACCAGATAGTAAGTCAAGTAAACAACTCTCTGAGTATCATTCTCGTTCGGAGAAACTGAGGAACAAATGCTATAGATGTGGTGATGATTCACATAGAGCACATCAATGTAAGTTCAAAAATGTAGAATGCAACTCTTGTAAACGTTTTGGTCACTTAGCAAGAGTATGTCTAAGAAAGACAAACAAAGAAGTAAAACAATCAGATGAATTTGCAGAAAATACAAGCGATGACACTCATGAAATTTACCAGCTTAATTCAAAATCAAATGACAAGTTTATGCTCGAGGTAAAAGTGGAAGGACGACTCATGACAATGGAATTAGATACAGGAGCGGCTCTTAGCATTGTATCATATGATACATTTAGGCTTTTAAACACTACAAAAAGGATTTTCAAGACAAATGTTCAACTCAAGACATACACTGGGGAAATAATCAATCCAAGAGGAGTTGTTTTTGTAAATGTTCAGTATAAAGATCAAAGTTTTGTTGGAAAACTGTACATTGTTAACAAGTGTGTAGACTCTATATTCGGAAGAGAATGGATAAGAGAGATTCGACTTGATGCAGCTGACATACATTCATTGAATTCGAGTGAAGAAAACGAAAACATTCAAGAACTAGATGATTTGATGATTCGATACGAAGACATTTTCAAAAAAGGCATTGGGAAAATACCAAACGAAAAGGGTCATTTTAATGTAAAAGACGAAACCCAGCCAATTTACATCAAACCGAGACACATGCCATATGCATTACAAGAAAAGGTAGAGAAGGAACTTGAAAGACTGGAGACTTTAGGTATAATCACACGTGTCGAATCATCCGATTGGGGCACACCCATTGTGCCGGTTGTCAAACCCAATGGTTCAGTCAGAATATGTGCTGACTACAAGGTGACTTTGAACAAAGTTATTAAAGACGAACATTACCCTATACCTCGGATCGATGATATCATGTCAAAGATGCATTGTGGAAAGATATTCTGTACTCTTGATATCAGCAACGCATACTTGCACATGGAGATGGACGAAGACAGTGCCATCATGCAAACAATCAGTACTCATAAAGGGCTGTTTAAAGTGAACAGATTAATGTTTGGAATAAAAGTGGCACCCTTGTTATGGCAAAGATTCATGGACAAAACATTACATAACTTAGAAGGCGTACAATGTTTCTTTGACGACTTAATTGTCCAAGGATCTAACAGGGAACAGCTTCTTCGCCGACTGGAACAGGTGTTTGAACGACTTAAGTTAAATGATTTGAGGCTAAATAGAGAAAAGTGTAAGTTTTTCCAGACCAAAATTGAGTACTTAGGTCATGTGATCGATAGCAAAGGACTACACAAGTCAGATGCTAAAATACAGAGCATTTTAAAATGTAAAAGACCAGAGAACGAATTATTACAACAAATTCATAAAGAATTTGGCTACACTACTACATCCTTTGAATCAGCTGCTACGAAAAGGAAACCCTTTTAAATGGAGCTCTGCTTGTGAACAGAGTTTTCTGAAGATTAAGGAAATCATTACAAGTGACGACGTATTGGTGCACTTTGATCCTAGCTTGCCACTGGTCTTGGCTACTGATGCTTCGCCGGTAGGTGTGGGAGCCGTTCTTTCACACCGCTATAGGGATGGAACAGACAGGCCAATTGCCTTCGCCTCTCGATCGTTGTCAAAATCAGAACAAAAATACTCTCAAATCGATAAGGAAGCCTTGGGAATATATTGGGGCCTGAAAAAGTTTTTCCCATTTTGTTATGGCCGCAAATTTACTTTGATCACAGATCACAAACCCCTAGTGTCAATTTTTAATCCAGAAAAGATCTTGCCAACAATCTCGGCAACACGGATATTCAACTATGCTCACTTTCTCTCCGGGTTCGACTATGACATAGAGTACAGGCAAACCGCTCATCATTGCAATGCAGATTATCTTTCACGTTTCCCTATCGAAGTTGTTCAAGAACATTCTGTAGATGACCTCTCGAAGTACCACATAAATCAACTGGAAACACTCAATATCAACAGTACCGTGGTGGCTAAGGAAACTCTCAACGATGTTGTTTTGGGTCCAGTCCTACAGGCCTTAAAATCGGGACAATCTGTTGAACAATACGGATTTCACGATAACGAGCTGTCCATGATACCTCAATCTCTCAGACCTCATGTGCTTCGAGATCTACACGTAGCTCATTTAGGAGGAATGAAAATGAAGGCTTTAGCTCGCAGTTTTTGCTGGTGGAAAAGTATAGACAAGGATATTGAAGGGATGGTAGCTGAATGTCGACAATGTATTGAAAAATGCAACAATCCGAGAAAAACTATCCATCCATGGGAACAACCTTCTAATCCATGGGAGAGGGTGCACATTGATTTCTTAGGACCAACAGATGGCCAACAGTACCTGATATTAGTGGATGCCTTTAGTAAGTGGGTGGAGGTGATACAGACAAAAACAACTACAAGTACATGGACAGTCCAAGAATTACGGAAAATCTTCTCAACTTTTGGGTTTCCTCACATCTTAGTTTCAGATAATGGAAGACAGTTTGGTTCTCAAGAGTTCAAAAACTTCATGAATGAATGTGGGATTATTCACAGAACAACGGCACCATACCATCCAAACTCAAACGGCCAGGCTGAAAGATACGTACAGACTGTCAAGAAGGCATTAAAATCCATGGAGGGAGAAAAGGGTACACTGCAAAATAAAATCCAAAGACTCTTAATGCAACTCAGGCAAATCCCGAATTCAACTGGTACATCAGCATACCACCTAATGTTTGGAAGGAGTGTACGAACAAACCTTGCAATATTTGTTCCAACATTAGAACCGAACAAATATCAGAAGGAGGGAGTCCAAGTCGGTATAAAAAGGAATTTCAAAGTTGGAGATAAAGTGCAAGCGCGGGAATATGTCAATGGTTCGTCCAAGTGGTATTCCGGCTATATAACTAAAAAGCAAGGACGTGTAATGTACGTAGTTCAGCTAGAAGATGGACGAATAATAAGAAGACATGTTGACCAGCTGATTCTTCGTAAAGTGCAGCAGCACAGTAAATAGAGGAGGAGGTGTTACATATGTTTTATTTACATTTGATTTCTAACATGTGTTCAAATTATTATTTTGTTTACTTGTTGAATTGTTTATGTTTACTTACAGATTGTGATTTAATAAAAACTTACTACTTTCTATTTCTTATACAAAATGTGAACTTTTATTAGTAAAATTAGTGGAATCAACATTAACTTTGTAGGAGTAGTCTCAAAATCATTTGCAAAATTTAGATATCGAGAAATTACACTTGCCATTGGCTGACCAGTTTGTTCTACCATGCTTTGCAATTTCAATTATTTATAACCAAAATCTAAATAATATAACTTGATCTGCCATTGTGTGAAATGTAAAAAAGGCCCTTTGTTAGATTCTGTGTTAACTGCTTTTATTTAGGTTTGGGACACCTCCCATTTTTCATATACATTCTGGTATGTTTTATTGTTTTTAAAGTTATTAAAGTCATTTTTTAGCGATCATCAGTGTTTCGTTTACCTTAGTTTAGACAGGTATTCATTGATATTATTGAAAAAGCTACTTTTCAACTCCAAGGATTGTGATTTTTGTAGCGAACCACACAGTCAGTGTAGCAATCTAAAACCATCACAAATCTTTTTAAAACTCTAAATTATCAAAAATATTTCATACTATAACAAATACTACGCATTATTTAAAATGAGCTGGATTTTTCGTACTAGGCTTAAGCTAATTTTTGGTGGAATAAACTACATTTTGATTTGATTTCAACAATCCAAACTACTTATACAAAATCATGCAAATCTGACGATATATGTCGTGATAATGATATTCATTATAATTCATCTGTATGCTTGCACTCCCCCTCACCAATTATTACAACTTGAAGTATCAAAATATTAGGAATTTTAACGCCAGTAATATTAGATGTTCTGACTTCCAAGATGTGACTAAACTAAATCCAAGCCTTTGACATTTTAACTTTTTTTTAAGGAAATCGTCCATGGGCCTGTTACTATGTAAAGACCCTCTTTTTCATAGCATCATTAATTGATACCCTGAAGACAAATATTATCTGGGCCTGGAAACAATATAGCATAAAATCAAACCAACGACCTTCAGATTTGAAAGCGAGCATTAACCACTCGGCAACCCAATCATAATCTAGATGCTGGTAACAAATACTTTAACATAACTTATATTTAGCTATATACATACAGTTTGCTGTGTGTGCCATGTATCCTCTACTAAGCTGTGTTTGTTTTTTCGCAGGTAAGACCAAGACTATCAACGCGGGTCTGGTTTCCTCTGCCTCCGCCGACGCTCTTCAGCTCAAGAAGCAAGGTACAAGTGTCTTTGACGTTTGACAGTTTGTAGCATGCGCATGTCAATCTTCGTGTGCCGCTGTCAATGTCAGTGTCAATCTCGTTGTCAATGTTAATGCTTTAGTTACCGCGCAGACTCGATGTTAATTTAGTTGTCGTTGTCAAACTCCACGCCTGTCACATTCCTTGTTCTTTTTCAGTGATTTAGTCCCTTGAAATATTGCTGTCAAACTTCACTTAATGTCATCCTTACTGTCAAACTAACTGTTAATGTCGCTATCCCTGTGAAGCTCAATGCCATGTATCGTTTGATCAGTCGATAGTTTGCCATCTGCTGCAGACTGCATTTGTTTCACATCGATGCATTCTCTCCCGCCAACTGTAACATGTATGATGCCATGTATAATGCGATGCATTAAGGCTAAATTTTAAACTTTATGTATATTTGTAATGATACAGTGGATACAAAATGCTATCTGATAAGTAACCGTGAGCAAATATAGACTTTAAATCATAATTATAATATTACTGATTTGAACGTGAATAACAATATACAGCATGTGCATAAGTGCATGCCAATCTTCGTTTCTTACTGTCGTCCAAGTTTCAATTTCAATGTCGTTTAGTGCAATTTGTAAGTCTAATAAAGTAGTCGATGGCAAAATCAAAGGCGAAAGCATTGTGTAACTTGATGAATGAAATTTTTGTATTGTGCAAACTGAAAGTTCATTTTGTTTTCACTGGAAAATTAATTTTTCTCTTTGTCACTTTCAAATAAATTGTTAATCTCGTTTCAGTGACAAGGACATTTTATTTTAATTTAATTTGGTTACGTTGGTCAAACTCGGTGTTAATCTCGTTATAGCCGTCAAATATAAATCCACTCCAAATGTAGAAATCCTATATATATATATTTAGTTTTTTTTTTGAAAATCTAAATTTCATTTGTTAAATCGATGCTAATGCTCTTCCAACAGTGTATTTTGCTTAGCCAAGTAATTTAATATCAGTACATTTGTGCTCTACATGTGTTATATCCAGAAGATATGTAGTATACACTCATTTTTAGAGTAATTTTTAGAAATAAAATCTCACAGCATAGAAAAATCAAAAGTTTTTGATATTGCAGACGATTGAGAATTACTATTTGCGCATCATCGTTCGTTTTCCTCTGTCAAATCAGCAATCTCATACCCTTTAAGCACATTTAAACAACCGTACTAGCTTCTTTGTGTTGATACTATTTTGCTAGACTAGATGTGAGAGCTATTTATGACCGTATTAACATCAATTTAACAGTAACATTTACCATACGTAAATCAAGTCTTTTAACATATTTTAAATCAATGCGACGTAAAACAATTCATTTCGTTGCATAAGCAGGCGAAGTTTAAAAACTGAAAGTTTTACCCGGTGACACAAAGACACGGTAGTAATGGACGAGGTGAAAAGGAATGTCCCAAAATAAAGTACAAGTGAAATCATCAATTCACACGGACAAAGATCAATAGTGTGGCAACTGGCAACTGGAACTGACTATTCTGGAGACGACGAATTGTCGAGACGATGTTGCTTATGAACAAAAAGCAGAGGTTTGAGGCAGGTATGTTTAAAACTAAACTGTACCACGTCAATTGTGCACCTCATTATGTGCTTACTATGAAACTTCGTATCCAATTAGTGAGATTTAAGTATTAAATTTAAAGTGGTCATAAGTTTTACCGATAAGTCTCAATAATAAAGCTGCAAAAACAATTCCCAGAAATCTTTTATGTCAATCACATTTAGGTAAAAACTTGCAGAATTGTGTCAAAATCTTGATTTGATAATTATAATACTGAGAACTACTCTGTCGAAATGTTTTCAACGCATACAAATGTTAGGGTAGAGTTTAGTGTTGTTCTCTTTAAGATTATGTGCGTTTCTAGGCTTTAAAAAAATATATTTTCCCTTGAGACAAGCAATTTTAAATGTACGTTTAAGCTGCCTATTACTGAAAATAAAGTACACCACATCACGTTCATAAATAAGTTGAATCAAACACCATAAAGCATTGTTTTTTATTTGTTTCACCCTGCTCCTGCTCGATTAAAACTATGAGGATTAAACATAATGTTAATCCTCCTGGGATTCAAACTATTCTAATTAATAATTGCTTATTTAACCAGTCTACCTACGTAGCAATTGAAATATAGCCCACTACTCCATGTATTAATACAATGTATTATATATCAGTATGATGCAAATGGCAAAGACCAATAATAGATACCATTAAACCAATTAATCCATTTCATACCCACGGACGTAACATAGTCAGTGGGCAGTTGTGATATCTGATATATAGCAGTATTTCTGCCATCCAAGGTAATCATTCCCACTCAGGCGAATGTTGCGGTTATCAGACTGGAAACGAGTTAAATCATGGGATTTATCATGTTTGGCTTCAGTTGATTTGCAGTAGGTTTAACAATAAGTTCTGCTATTTTATTGTTTACGTATAATGTGTTACATCGTTGTATAACTTCGTTCTCACATAGTGTTCGTTTTGAAATAAAATTGTAATTTCGTAATATAATTCGTATAAGAAGCATAATAAGCTTGGAGAAGAGGGATGGCTATCATAATACATAAAAAAGCAAAAAATTAACCACTTTTAAGGATATAATCAAATACGTCGTTTAAAATTATTCCGATATATTTATACAATAAATATCTATGAAAATGTGTTTCATACATAGAATATAGTATTTTATTGTCCCCTAGAGGAATGCTACAGAAATTAATGTAATTGTGTTTTAAAGCCATTGGAATTGTATACCGTTTATGTAAGGGGTTGATGTTAATCCTGTGCTTTTTACAATCTATCGTCGACATATTGCTAGTTACCCATCGACATGAGTTACAATTCAATAAAAAATGTAGCTTCTGAGCCCAAAATCAGCGCAGACCTTTTTTTTTCTAGGAACCTCCACATTTGAAACCAAGAACTTTGCTAACCATACTACTATATATTTTGGTAAATAATCACTTTTCAATGAATTTTTCCATCAAATTTCGTACACTGCAACCGAAACAAAACTAAACAAACAAATACGCTATTGTATCAAATAGGCAAATATTATATCGAAACACAAAATCTCAACCATCATTTCGTAAATTTGTACAATTAGTTTGTTAAATCTAATATAAAAGTTTACAAGACATTCTCAAGATTGTACAGATCTGATATCAACGTAGAGGACATTGCCTGAAGCATTTTGGCGACGTTCCATACCATCTTGCTAGAATCTGTATATTGCCTACAGCTCCAAAGCTGTTGAAAATAAACATTGCTTTGCTGTTTCACAGAGATTCTATTTTGCTTTGATAATCTTAAGCTAGTCAAAACAATGTATGTTTTTCCATTGTTTAAAAGTTAAATTCTTTAACGAATGGAATGTTCTTTGCTTAGATCGGTCGGTGGTCCTAAATTATTAGCATATAAATCGGTCGGTTAGGAAAGGGCATTATTCCGAATTGGACCACTATTATTAAAATATGGCTATGCGAATTAAGGTAGTGTAAACTAACCCTAACCTATCCTAGCTTAGCCTTGTTTTTCATAACTTAACCTAACTTGTATTGCACACATTTTAATACCTCCTCTTCTTCGAAATACCCGTTGGCTCCGAACCCGAAACATCTTGATCACTTGTCATGGAGATATTTTCATTTTCCTAGGTGATTTGGGATTTGAACGAGGGTGCTCGGAACGATGCCACGCTGTAAATAAAACAGTCTAATAAAAAAATTTACCCAAATAAAGGCGTCCAAGGTCGTTTTTATGAAAACAATTTTTAACTTATCAAACTGATACTTTAAAAATATAAACTACCCAAGAGAGGCTATTCCTAAAGTTATCTTCCAAAATACCCTATTTATCATGGATTAGTGATAGAAAACTATTCAAATTAAATGCGTTTCGATTTATTGATTCATTGTTGTTGATCAGTAACAAGCAGAAACCGTAAAATGAAATAATTTCTGGGTTCTTTTCCCTAATATGTAAAATACACACGAAAACTATCAATGTATGATAAATGTCTTCTATACCATACGACACAACTATCGCACAAACGTCACTTTTACTTTTCACTTGAGCGATAAAATTTAAAATTGAAATAGCGACTTCACAACAGTTTCACCGGCGCTGTGTGTTTCTGTACTCGGCGCTTCAGTATTCAAATTCCTGAGGCACGTGAGTCTGTGAAAGCCGTTTATTTAACTTTGCTCCCTCTAAACGTCTATTTACATTATACATTCGCTTACAAAGAAAAAGGAAGAGATGCATACACCTTTGAGTTTCATGTTGACGTTTGCGTTGAAATGTTACGGCTTTTGGCGCATTTTATATTATATGTTATGTTCTCAGTGTGTGTGTATTTTTTACTTAAAATGTCTTAGGATTATCAAAAGAACAATTTAAATGATCAATAGTAGTCTATAAACAAAATTTGAAATTGATATAGTTTAGAAGCACTTATTGAGTTATACAAGTTGTATGTAAATGGAAATGGTAAATGTCTACAATATAGTAGACCTTTCAATCAGTGATTTCATGTTCATAATCAGTTTGATTTAACTATTGGAAATTTAATGTTTTATGTAAACAAGTGAAAATGAACGTAATACACGTATTTATTGGATAGTTTTTTTTGTTCAATTTATAATCAAAGAAAATGTTTAAATATGTATTTGTTGTGAAAAATTGCTACGAAGAGTTATTATATTCATCATTCAACTGGTTGTAATGAATATAAGCTACACCTGATGTAACTGTTTGTCATATTCGCGGTTATCTGCAGTTATCGGCAGTTTAGGCTTGCCGGTTATAGATTTGGCTGGATATATTAGGTTTACGTGCTCGGCAATGGTATGGGGTACACCAAGATATATTTACGCTCGATAGTGGGGTGTGGTAATCGTTCGAAAGGCAAGTTTGTTTTTATTTAAGTGGGCCTTTTATATTTAATGCATTGA